CATGATTTTGAATTGTTTCGGATGTAATCAAGTGAGACCCTTGGAGACATGTACACGTAGTTTACGGATGTCGTCAACGATCTAAAAGTACTTCGTAAAAGTTTTTTTAATTTTGAACTCGTTAACAAAATATTGAGATCCCTTCCAAAGAATTGGGACCCTAAAGTATCAGTCATTCAAAAGGCCAAGGATTTGAACTATCTTCCACTTGAAGAACTTATCAGGTTTTTAATGACCTATAAAATGAGTTGTATAACATAAAACAAACATGAGAATAACATTCCAAAGAACAGGAAGGATTTGACACTTCGAACAATAGAAGATCACTTGAGCAAAAACTCAAGATTACAAAGAACTTCTTACAAGTAAATTTATAAAATTTATTAAACATGAATCATAAAGTAAAAATGCAGTTAAAAAGGAGAAGGAAGTATTCAAGGCAACTTAGGACGAATTGAGCTCATCCAATGACGAGAAGCAAACCAACAAAAACAAGATGGCGAACTACGCCTTAATGACTTTCGACGACGAGGTAACCAAAACCCCCTTAGTTTACTTTGAAATTACTTGAGGTGTTTTATAAGTTATTTTTAAATTAGTTTAGAAAAATTATGTATATAAAAAAATAAAAAATTTGAGCATGAAAATTGCATGTTAACTCCTAGCACTAAGCATGAAAAGTTAAATTTACTTTAAAAAAATTACATAACTACAACAAACAAAATAATTTTGATTGAAAATGCTTTATGAATGATGAAATCAATTTTGATGATTTAATAATATATAATGATGTAATGATATAATGAAAATATTAAAAGTTTTGGCACCACGCTTGATGATTTTATTCTATGTATGAGATTTTAAAGTTATACATGATGATTTTTGTGATTTATTGATCTTGATGATTTTTATGATAAATCTTACACTTTCATTTTAAATAATGATATATATTTTGATTTGACAAAAAAAAAGGGACAAGGACATGCTTGTATAAAATCAATCACATGAATTGAAACAACTAAAAAAGGAATGTATTTTGAAAATTTCTCTATCTTATCAAATTTTAAATAAGAAATTGATAAATATATTTATGTCATTTTGAATCTCTTGAAAGTGATTTTGATGATTTGTTGATTTGAATTTGGATGAGTTTCATCTAACCATGATTTTTATCTTGATTTCTCGATATTTATAACTTGAGATTTATTCTATATAAATCGAGATCTTTTATCCTTGATGTTTCTTTTTGCTATCTACTATCCAAAAGAATCATGATTGATATCATTGCTATGTTACTTCTTATCGTTTACTGAAGAGGAAAATTTTCTAAAATAAATCATTATTTTTTTAAAATTATATTTTTTTTTATGATTCATAATGAATTGAGAGATATTATACATGAATTGAGAACATTTATGTATTCTCTCATGACTCCTTTTGCTTTAGGAATGTCTTTATTTATATCATGGTCTTGAATTCTCGATATTCATAATTGAAATCTTTCTATGAATTAAGATCTTATTTTTGAACTTCCATGGTTATTTTTTGCCATTTACTATGATTCTTCTTTTCGCTATTTGAATCATAAAAAAAGAATCATAATTTTTCTCTTGATTTTTCGATATTCACAACAAATTTAGTTCATGACTCCCTTGTATTTATGAAGTGTATATCTTATCACCCAATTAATTTTTCTTGATAGCGAAAAAATAAAATTACTAGCTTGCATGATGATAAAACTTGAGATTATATTTATAATGTAATGATTTGAAATTATATCTCAAAAATTGGCTAGATGCACTTCTCCTTTTTGTTGATGACAAAGGAGGAGGAGACATGATGGTATGAGAATCATACATGGTAGGATGTAATATACTTTGATATTTTGATATCATGATGATTTAAAATATTTATGATGATGCACGCAAAACTTATGATAATGATGCATGCAATGCAATGCAATGATATACATATAATGTGTTGCAAATATTCATGATTAAATTTGTTTTGACTTGAATTCAATTTGAATTCAGGATTCTATCAATATGGCATATTTATAGGGGGAGTTTAGTTTAAACTCCGTCATCAATTGGTTGTCATCATAAAAAAGGAGGAGATTATTGAATCTTGGATTTTGATGATGAAATAAATTGATGTGTTTGTGATCTAATTCGTGTTTTGAGTGACGTAGGAACATGTCAGAAAATTGGATGTCGAGCCGAAGGATTGGTCAACGTATCGACAAAAGGTTTCGGGCCATGGGTTCGAGCATCAGGCCAAGAAGAGCGGAAATTACACCAAGGAAATCAGAGTTGCAGAGATCAACTAACCGATTGGGCAATAGGCCGCAAGAGAGGAATAAGCGCCGAAGATTCGGATGAAGCGCGGATGAACCAATGACATGTTGGACAACATTTGATTTGCTTTGTAATAATTGTCTAGATCGAAGTAGGTTTTTAGTGTTCAAGATTAACTATGATAGCGATCAAAGCATAAAGCAAGATGAAGTCCTAGAGTCAAAAACAAGATTTCGTTGGGAGTTTATGAGTCTGTCGAAAGTCCGAACGTTCATCGGATGTTCTGTCGGAATTAGCCGAGAAGTCCAGGAGCTTGCCAGGTGTCCGTTGGAACATTGACGAGAAATCGTCAAAAGTTTGCCGGAAGATCGTCGAAAGCTCATCGGAAGAAATCTAGACTTACCGAACTTATTTAGCTTAGTGTATGTCTTAAAATTCATAGTTAGCATATAATTGGGTTAGAATTGGGCCAACTCAATTATGGGCTAATTTGGCCTAAGTTTGGGCTGTGTTGGGCCAAGTGAAAGGCCAAAACAATGACCCAACAAGCAAAATCATCGGTGGCAGAGTCTCTGAGACTGTATCAGGCGGTGGTACTACCCAGACATAGTCTTCCAAGCAGTGATACCGCCAAGTATCAATGTTGTAAGCGATGGTACCACCCAGCATAGGCGGTGGTACCGCTAGTACCCCGAAAACTGGGGTTGAGACTCTTTTAGGCTTCAAGTTTGAATCAATTTGAGGCTTATAAATACCCCTCTCATCCCCAATTAACAAAAATAAGAATAAAGAGCAAAAAGAAACAAAAACGCTATTGTAATCTTGTGAGAACTCTTCTTAAGCTCTAAGTGTTAGTCTTATTTAAGAGGAGTGAAGAGGGTTGTAAAGGTTCTCTCCTGAATCTGTCAAAAGGAGAATCGAGTTGTAAGGGTAGTTGATCTTCGCCCATTGAAGGAAGATTGTTAGTGGATGTCGGTGGCCTCGACGGAGGAGGAATCGGGAGTGGATGTAGGTCACGACTACCGAACCACTAAAAAACTCGGTATGTATTTTTATTTATGTAATTTATCTTTATTGCAAACTGATTTTCTTACTTTGCTTTCACTACGCTTATGAAAAAGCATTAAATTTCAAGTTATCTACTGAGATCGGTTTTTATCGTACGAAGATTTTTCAAACCAATGTTTTTATCCGCTACACTAATTCAACACCCCCCCTCCCCTCCTCTCTTAGTACCGATTCGATCCTAACAATGCCTACGAAGCCGATGGGAGAGAATTGTGGCAGCAAGGATTGCCTGTAGCTCCTGCGGCGCATTCATATGGGCGGTCGATCCGTACAGCTCCCAATAGCACAAGTCGGCATGTTCGGGCTCTGGTGGTACGACATCGATCTGTGCTACCTCATGCGGCATGGGACTGACGGGGAATAATCGAGAGGATACCGACCGCCAGCCCAGCCCTCTCCTACATTAAACAAACACTCCGTTGTCCTCCGCATTAGTTTTCTTATGACTACCAATTGATGACCTATGATCGGTGCTGGAATACTTCCTATCAGGTAACATTATCCGAGAAGTGTTGAAAGTTGAAATTACAGTAAGAGTAATAGTGATACCCTCTCCTGGGAGTCATTTGTTTCAAATTAATATTTTTTATGAAACCTAAAAATTGTTTCCCAACCATCTACATGTGTTGATAGGGTTCCTCATAGGAATTGTTACCGCAATGATGACAGAAATTTTTTTTTTAATGCCACAGGAATTGTTTATGAAGTAATATTTGATAAATTATGTAACAATGACTTGGTTAATTATAGTGATCAATTTTTTTTTCACATCATATAATACTATAATATAATTGATGCAACTCAAGTGAATCTAGAGTTGTGGGTTAACTTCTTTTTTTTATTTTGTGTTTGTTGGATAACACATAATGTAAAAGAATGATCCATTGCACAATCCGAATCAAGTTTATTTTATGTGTTGAAGAATTTATTTTTTATCTTATCAAATTTAAATCTGAATTTTTGTGTAAAATTAGAGTTGTAATGGAAAACCTCGTATATCGAAGCCTTTCTTTGCTTCACGAAGATATCAACTGTGAATTTTAAATTTATTGTTAAAATTTTGATGATGTTACTAATTATTATTGACATAACAGTTTATTACTAATGTTTCATCACTTTTTTATCAGTAAGATTTTTACACATCAACCTCACCAAAATGGTCTATATTTTCATCTTAATGACAAAGTTCGAACAAGTTGACCATAAACACAATTGATCATTGGACTAATAATTTAGTGTCCAAGGTATCTTCTTCGTCACTAATGACGGATCAGTTCCTTGACTGAAATTTTTGATTGACTTTGTCATCTTATCTGATATCATCACTAATGATTTAGTGACTGAAATAATTTAGTGTCCAAGGTATCTTCTTCGTCACTAATGACGGATCAATTCCTTGACTGAAATTTTTGATTGACAAAATGTGACTTTGTCATCTTATCTGATATCATCACTAATGATTTAGTGACTGAAATAATTTAGTGTCCAAGGTATCTTCTTCGTCACTAATGACGGATCAATTCCTTGACTGAAATTTTTTATTGACAAAATGTGACTTTGTCAGCTTATCTAATATCATCGTCAATCACGAGGTACGAATTATGCAAGGGCAGTCCTACCACCTCTCCCTCCTTAAATCAAGCCGGAATTGTGCCGCAGTACCGCCACGCAATACTTTGGAGACCACCCAACTCTCCTCCTCCTACTACCACAAAGAGAGAAGGAAGTTGGTTCGGTAGAGCGGCAATGGCAGGATCATTTGAGGTACGTGTAGGAGACAAAGTACTGCCGCCGGTCCTGGAACATAAGACCATCTTGCATAGCGGGGCACTTTACCAGGTTCGTCTCTTTCTCTTTCTTTGTCTCTTATCGCTATCTGATCTTTATGTGTACTGTTCATACATATATACACTCGGAAAAAGAAGGATAAATACTCTCTCTCTCTCTCTGATCTCTACGTGTATGTTTTACTCTGCATGCTTTGTAGTATATTTTGGAGACCAGTGTGTACCCTCGTGAGCCCGAGGCCTTAAAGGAGCTGCGGCAACTCACAGCCACACACCCCAGGCAAGCTCCGGCTTTCTTTCTGGTTTTATCGAACATAATAAGACAAAATTATGTTGCTTTTTTTTTCTTTCTCTCTTTTGAGGAACGTGAATTTTGCCCTCTAATCTTAATTTATGGAAGAATAGAAAGTGCAACTTTTGATGCTATTTTTTTTTCCCTCTTTACAGTTAAGATTAAAATATGTTTGTTTCTTAAAACGGGTAAAAAAATTATCACTTAAGGCATCATTGCTAAAAGAAGATATATATGACGTAATTAGCTAATCAGTTAGTGACGTTATTTTTCTCCATAAATATATAAGAAACTTTGGATTTCATTAAATGGTTAAGAAAAAAGAAGATATCTTTAATTCATCCGGTTTTCTACTTTTGGTCCAATATATATTTTCTGAACTCTCTCGCCTAATGCAGTCTTGAGGCTTCTACTTTATGGTCTGTCTCACACTAAAATATGGACCGGTTCATATTATGTTGTTTGCATCACCCATTAACCTCATCACTTTGCTTATTTGGATTACTCGACTATGATAACGTGTTGGGAATTTGAAAATGTTAAGCTTGAGTGAAGAACATATATTGTGAATAAAAGCTTAATGCATTAGGCGAATATAAAAGCTTGAGCGAATTACAGGAACGGATTGGCGGCAGGTGCAGATGAAATGCAATTCTTGAGGATGCTATTGAAGCTGATGAATGCCAAGAAGACACTAGAGATCGGCGTATTCACCGGCTACTCCCTCCTCTCCACCGCCCTCAGCCTCCCCCATGACGGTGAGGTAGGGTCCTTTCTACGTCACCAATAGCTCTCTTGCTGTTCGATGTAATTGGTGTTTATTAAGATACAGCTCTTCTCGTGTGTAGATCATAGCCATCGACACTAATCGAAAGAACTTTGAGTTCGGACTCCCTATTTTTGAGAAGGCTGGGGTAGCACACAAAATTGAATTCCGTGAGGGCCTTGCTCTACCCATCCTCGATGAAATGATGGAGGCGGTAAGAGAAAGAGAGTGCATTACAAACTCACTAGTTGGGTTTAGATTTCGATTTCAACAACTTGTCGAACACATATTATGGTAAAAGAAGTGATAAGAGAACGAGTCCTAGGAAATAATGTTTGATAAGTAGTGTTCGGTTGGATTGAAATGAGATATACACAGTCTCATCTGTATTTTACTTGTAGGAGAAGTACAAAGGATCGTTCGACTTTGTGTTTGTGGACGCGGACAAGAGCAACTATCTCAACTACCATGATAGGGTGATGGAGATGGTGAGAGTCGGGGGCATGATCGGGTACGACAACACGTTGTGGAGTGGCTCGGTGGTGGCGTCGTCAGAGCACACCTTACCTTGGTACATCATGGAGAACCGAGATGCCGTTGTGGAGTTCAATGCATACCTTGCTGCCGACCCACGGGTGGAGATCTGCCACCTCACTATCTCCGACGGCTTCACTCTCTGTCGTCGTCTTACCTGATGTCCACCATGCCTCTCATGGTTAAAGCAGACACGAATAACTTGTGCTTGTGCATGGAGAAGGAATAAGTTTGCTGAACTTGATTGCAGATTCACTTACACGAATTAAAGCTCATAAACTCTCACAATCTTTTGCTCCCTGATTTAATTCTCTAGCCATTTCATCTCTAACGACCTCATTTCGGAGCACTTCTCTCTGCCATAGAAAGTGGACAACTACGAAAAGAGGTAACACCACAAAGCCATAAACGATCAAATTCGGCTAACTTCTAACCACAAATATTTTTTAATAAGTGAGAGGTTAAAATCTCATCCGATAAATTTGAATGATGTCCGTAAATTAGTTGATAAATATCTTGACTATTGATAGTAAATAACTGAGATCAAATCATGTCTGATGACAGAAAATTAATATTCTTCTTAACTCCTTAGTGAAAACAAGAAAGAAGGAAAAAAAAATCCCTATAATATTTGACAGATTATACAAAAACCACTTAACCCTCTCTCTCTCTCTCTCTCTCTCTCTCTCTATATATATATATATATATATATGTGTGTGTGTGTGTGTATATGTATGTGTATATATATATGTGTGTATATATAAATGTATATATATATGTATATATATGTATATATATATATATATATATCTATGTATATATATACATA